GAAAGGAAGAAAGAGGGGAGTAACAATTATATCACTAATAGGCATATATTTAGATAAGCAATATGCAATAAGGGAATGGCCAGCACAATTACTACTAAAAAAAGTTAAGATACTGAGAAGGATCAATGGAAAGGAGAATTATAAGAAATAGGTAAAGTGTGGTTTCAGTGCAGATATTGAAATTTATGTTACTGAACATATGTGTATAAGTAGTTTAAGGAAAAAATAAATTTGCTTTGTAAAAACCACAATAAGAATGGCTTAAAAAGGAAACAAAAAATATTTACAGTATCAGAAATTTTATGGGGCAGTTCTTCTCTGTCATGTAGGGTTGCTATAATTAGAATCAATTCAACGACGGTGAGTTGTTTTGCTGTTTTCTTTTTTAATTGAGGGAATAAAAATATTTGTGTGATTAACTTTTTTGTGATATTTGCTTTATTGCAGTAGTCTAGAGATGAACCAAAAATATTTCCAAGGTATGCCTGGATAGAAGGAGCCTGGTGGCAGAAGGGTGATGATCTAACTCACAGCCACTCTATAGGAGGGAAAGGTGAAAGTCTGTTTCAGCGAAGATGACAACTTCAAGAAGCCTTGGGGCAATTCTACTCTGTCTTATAAAGTCACTATGATTTAGAGCAGACTCAAGAGCTATAGATCTGTTTTTTATCTATTATCTATCTATCTATCTATCTATCTATCTATCTATCTATCTATCTTATATTTTTCTCTTTAAGAAGATACAAAAAGAGAGTTAAAGAAAACCACTGATAAATTGACCACATTAAATTGAATCCTTACATCCCTATGTTCACTAACCCTGAACAATGACTAAATTTCCCCACTCTCTCAGTTCTTTCCTTGGAAAGGTTGACCTTAAATCAACTGAGCCCTTTTCCCAAAGCTCTGCTAATAGCCTTATATTCCCCTTTTGAGTCATTATTGAGAGTGTCAGGTTGGTGTTTGTATTTGCTGTAGTAAGTAGATAGGGGGACATCCTTGGTCATAAATTGCTGAAACAGAATAAGATATATATGAGTTCATAAATTGAATATACCGTGGACTGCTAAGAAAACAAACAGGTTTGTCCTGGAGAGGGTGAAGCTGGGCTGCTCCTTGGAGGCAAGAATTCTGAAGCTTCATCTGGCACACTTCTGACATGTTGCAAACAGGGACCAGTCCTTGGAGAGGGATGTCATTCTTGGGAGGGTGGAGGGATGGCGCAGGAGAGGAAGACCCTCAATGACATGGACTGATTCAGTGACTGGGGTAATGGGGGTAAGTGTGTTGGAGATGATGAGGTTGGCAGAGGATAGGGAAGATTTTAGGGCTGTTGTACATAGGGTTGCTAAGAGTTGCAGGTGACTTGACGGCACATAACAACACCAACTTTTATATATTTCTAAAATTCTGTATAATTGTAAAAATAATTTTCTTACTAAAGCAACAAATAGTTGCAATTGTTTTCAAGTCAATTCTAACTCTTGGTTATAACATAAGCACCTAAGTAGAATTGTATCACATAAAGTGTTCTTCTCCCCCCACCCCCAATAACATTTTATTATGTTTTCAAAGAAGGTCTCTGTAAAAGGAACAAGGATGACACGAAGATGGCCATATCTGACCTTTACCAACTCCATAAAGGGGATCTGTCCCCATCACTGACAACATCCATAACACAAAACTAATTCCGATGAAGTCAGAAATGTCACCCATGCTCCCGCACCTCTTTCTACTAATCCTAACACCAAGCTAACTGCTCTACTCTGTCTGAAATCCATTGTGATAGCTCACAGAACACACAGAACCATATTAGGGAAGTCAAAAGACTGTAATTCCGGTTAGTAGAAGAATACAATCACTCAGAGAGGACAAGGCTGAAAGTGCTCACAGGCAGCTCAGCCTCAGGCCTCACCACAGCTTTAGGTCAGTCTTAGGAAGTTTTTAGTCCTGCCAGTTATGGCTACTCCCTCCAGTCATTCAAGCAGCTTAGACTAATGCTTTTGGTTCTGGTTTGGTGGGGCAGCAGTGCCAAGGTCAGCTCTAACTCAGTCTGAGACTCTCTGCTTCAGCTGCTGCTGCTCCTCCTGTAAACCCCAATCTAAACAGCACAGGAATCTTTGGTCCTGAAGGACTCTCCCTCTGCATGCTCTGCTGCTTCTTTATTGGTTGTGAGATTTCCCAAATCTGCCTCTGAATCTGCTCAACTTAGTGGCAAGACTAGCCAATCTCCTTGTGAGTAGGCTATCACGCTACTTACATATTCCTGCCCATCCACAGGGCAAAGTAAAAGTCAATGGCTAAGGAAACTGTTTTGAACCCTCAACACCACAGTCTCCTAGGATTTTTTAACAGCTCCTATTCAGGAATTAAGCACAAGGCCTTTCTTCTGGGGTGTTTAGGGGTGAACTTGAAAGAAATTCTCATCTTTTAGTAGCTGAGCATAGCAACAGTTCACACCCTCTGGGTCTCAACAATATAGTACACTATTTGACCATGACCACTAGGCTTGTCCAGAAAGCAATTGGTCAAACAGAAACTAAGTTATACTATATCTTGCCATTCTGCCATTGACGGAAGACAGACAAGAATGGTGATAACAGATTTAAGACAATTCCTTTTTGATCCTTCTATAATATTTCTCCATTTATTTCATTTTTTAACAACTTCCTTTTCTCCTAGATACGTACTTTGTACATTCCAATTGTTAATGGATGTTTATAGCCATTTCCTCCTCATTTTGAGTCTAACTACACCAGCAAACAAAGGTCCGTCACTGGGTAAAAGCTTTACTCCATCCTTATCATTCAGGTAGATTCTACTTTGAGGTGGAAGCTCTTTCCCAGTGGTATTTTAAGAGCCTTCCAATCAGGGGGCTCTTCTTTCAGTACCACATCCAACAATGTTCTAGAATTCACACGGTTTTTGAAGCTCTTTTATTTCAGAAGCAGATGGTCAGTCCTGCTTCTTGCTGGATAACATATTTGGAGACTTAGTTGGATAACATTGAGAAGAATGTTAATCTCAGAACACTTAATCATGCTCATGTAAAATCTACACAGAGACTAAGAAGCAGAGAACAGGAAAGGGAATACTGCATATATTCAAATCAGAAAGGTGTGCATCAGGGTTATATCCCTTCTCCATGTCTATTCAACTGTACACTAAACAAATAATTCAGGAAGGTAAGTGTGGTATCAGGATTTGAAGAAGACTCATTAACAAACTGTATTACTGCTATTAGGACTTGAAGCATTTACTGAAGACGATCAAAGGTTATTGCCTTTAGTAGGAATTATATATCAATATCAAGAAAACAAAAATCCTTTCCACTTGATCATAGGCCACATAATGTTAGGTGGAGGTAAGAATGAAGTTGGATCAAAAATGAACATCTATGATAGAAGCAGTCAAAAAATGATAAGATATATTGCACTCAGTTAATCTGCGGTCAAAAACCTCTTCAAAGGGCTAAGGCACTTCAAGAATGTCAGTGTGGTCGAAGGTGTGCCTGATCCAAGCCATGGTATTTTCCATTGCTTTTTAATGCATCTGAAAGTTGGACAATGAATAAGGAAACCAAAGAAGAATCAATGCCTTTGAGTTGCAGGGCTGTCGAATAATGGATATACCATAAACTTTCAAAAGAACAAATAAACTACTTGGAGGAGAGGATGATGAAATTTCATCTCACACACTTTGGACAAATTGTGAGGAAGGGCTAGTTCTTGGAAAAAGACATCATTCTGGGAAAGGTAAAGGGTCAGTGAAAAAGAGGAAAATTTTCAATGAGATGGGTTGACATAGGAGCTGCAGTTAAAGGTGTTGAGCAAGGCAGAGACTGTGACAAAAGTTCAAGATAGGGCAAAGATCTTATCTGTTGGTTCACAGAGTGACTATGAGTCATGGTGCCTAAAGATCACATATCTCCAGTGGATTGAATCCATCAGCAACTCTGGGGCAGAAAGATGGGAATTCTTCCATTAAGATTTAGCGTCTTGGAAACGCGGTGTAAGGTCAATATGAGTCAGAACTAACTCAGCAACAGTGAGCATAGTTGTTGTTGTTATGTGCCGTCGAGTCGTTTCCGACTCATAGGGACCCTATGCACAACAACCCTAAACTCTGCTCTATCCTGCGCCAACCGCACTGCCTCTGACACACCCATCCCGATTACCCCAGTCACCGAATCAATCCATCTCATAGAGGGTCTTCCCCTCCTGCATTGTCCCTCAACCCTCCCAAGCATGATGTCCCTCTGCAAGGACCCGTCCCTCCTGGCAACATGTCCAAAGTATGTCAGACGAAGCCCCAGAATCCTTGCCTCCAAGGAGCAGCTTGGTTTAATCCTCTCCAAGATAAATCTGTTTGTTTTCCTGGCAGTCCAGGGTACATTCAGTACCCTTCTCCAGCACCACAGCTCAAAAGCATCCACTCTCCTTCTGTCCTCCCTAGTCATTGTCCAACTCTCTGATGCATAACAAGCGATTGCAAATACCATGGCCTGTATCAGGCACACCTTAGTCTCCAGAGAGACACTGTTGCTCCTGAGTACGTTTGAGAGGTCCCTAACAGCAGACTTTCCCATCGCGATACGCTTTTTGATTTCCTGACTGCTGGTGCCAAGAGTGTTGACTGTGGAGCCGAGCAAACTGAAGCTGTGAACAATCTCAATCTCTTCGTCATCCATCCTGACACTGCCAATTGGTCCAGTGGTGAGAATCTTTGTCTTCTTGACATTGAGCCTGAGTCCATACTGAAGGCTGCAGTCCTTGACCCTTTGCAGCAAGTGAGCATAGTACCCTAGTGCAAAACTAAGATGAAATATAGTGAACTAAAATTTTATATTTAAATCTTTCTTGAAATAATAAAAGGGGTAGAGAATATTCTGTGAATACTTTATTCCAAGTGAAATTTACAGTAAGCTAAATGCTTAGCTGTACTTAGAATATGCTGCCTTCTACTTTCTACGCTTAGCAAGGAAAACTTACTATTCTTTCTTAGAATCCTAGACCCTGAAAATGGCTGTTACTAGGATCCCATAATACACACTCAAGGTGAGGTCTGATTTGAGGTTCTGAATAGCTATTTGTGTAAGTTGATTTTTCTGTGCATTTGAATTTAGGAGGATCCAGCTCAGGTTGATGTCCTGGGAACCAGTGAGGTTCTTTCTTAAATCCTGATGGTAGAGAAAAAAGAAAGAAGATAAGAAGAATCCGTCAACAACAAGGAGTTTTAGTTACTGATCTCACCCATTTCTGAGGAACAGTGAGTATTGCCAAAATTTAAAAAGAGATAACTTATACAATCATTCATTCATTCATTCACTTATTCAGTCTTTCTGTATACTTTTCATTTCATTCCTTATATGTTCTAAGAACTGAGTAAGGTCCTGAGAAAATAAAAATTTGAAAGAAAAGTCCACCTACTATGTGTTGAATGTGGCACTTTGTTATTATAGTTTGCATCATATGTTGTTTCAAAATAGTGCCCAAACTGGAAAGAAGAAAAAAAAATAGATTAAGTATCTAGGGGTCTATTGCCAAACTCTAACAGGCTTGGTTATATGTTAGACTGATTGTTGTTGTTGAGTATCATCAAGTTGGAACAGACCCATAGCTGACCCTCTAGTGAATTTTCAGAGGCATTTAATCCCATAGGGATTAATGTGCATTCTTCTGTGGAGCAGCTGGTGGATTCGAACCAAGTGCTTGTGGGATTGCAATGCAATTTCTTACGACTAGGCCAGCAGAGCTCCCTTAAATTGGATGTCCAGAGGCGCATGGTTCGAATCCACCAGATGCTCTGCCGGGGAAGGAGGGACAATCTCCTCCTGTACCAGTCAGATCTGATTTGATGGTGCACTCGCACAAAAATAATAATTAAAAAAAATTGGTTGTCTTTCACTTTTATGTGTTTGGGGAAATTTAAGAGCAAGACTCAGATAAATGACAGGTTTAGGTAGGTAAAAACCAATGGGAAGATTCTAACTTGAGTCAGAAATCATATATTCCTGTAGACAAACAGATAAAATTAAACACAGAAGCAAGAGAAAAAGTATAATCTATCCTTCCAATACCTCCAGTAATATAATGTACCCCTTGATAGTAAATTGGGGTAGCTCCTTAGTAATTGGGGATTGTTCCTTCGCCCCCAACTACTTCACTGAACCTGAGATATTAAGTGTTGTAGTTAATCAGATTGCTCCCCCTAATGTGCAGAGAGGCATTCATTTTGCTAAAAAACCCCAAAACCAAAAACCAAAACAAAACAAAAAAACAAACCCCAACCCACCAAAAACTAAATAAACAAAAAACAGGTGAGAGAAGAAAAAGAAAAGAAAAATTTGATTACCTGGGAAGGTAAGGGTTTTGGCTGCACAATATTCTTTAGGTCATATCGTTCCTGGTTCCAGTTGCCCATAAGCGTACAGTTTGAGTAGGAATTTTCATTAGTGGTGCATCTCCATCCATACTGGAAAAACTTGGCCATATCATTCCAGTCTGTCCACACTTCAGCATGGCCATCTGCATTAAGAAGGCTGCCATAATGTGGATTTGCAAGGAAACAGATAAGCTCCTGTCTCTGACAGAAGGGGGGAATAGAAAGCTTGTTAAACCAACAAGAGAACATCAAAAAGTATTCCTTTCCCACGCACTGCTCTATATAGTCAGGTTAAGGCACAGGGTTATTTTGCTAAGCACCAACGATTCCATTGAAAGTTAACTCTTGTAGTAAGTTTGTTTCTCTCCAGAGCCATGAACACTTCAATCTACCTTCTTAGTAGTAATAGACAGGTATAGACAAAATGGTCCCACCAAAAAGATCTAAGCAAGCCTTTTGAAATGTGGTAACTCTAAGGAGAATTAGCAAATGTTCAGGTAATATTGAGATGTAAGAATTTAGGGACCATGGATATTGCTATTACAGTAAAAGAGAATGCAAAGTGAAAGTTGAATAAGCAACACAGTGAATAATCAATAAATGATATATTCCTTCCTTTCAGGTCCAGTTCAAATATCACTTCTGTGATACTTTCTCTCCTTTTACAGCCCACAAAAATTTCTCATCATTTCTTTAAGAATAACTTTTCTGCCTTATTCTAGGGTTCCTTAAGTAAACGTATTAACTCCTTTACTGAACTATGTATCTCTTAAAGGCAGGATCTCTGTCCTATTTACTACGACAACAGCTCCTTCTGCCTGCTCTCTCAGCCACCAGTGCTTGTACACACTAGATGATCACTGTCTGAATTTCATGGTGTTTTGTGGTAAGGAATCAAAAGTTTAACTCTTTTTCTTAGGAAAAAAAAAATTAACCTTGTTCCCTGGCTTAAGAGTAAAGTGATACCTCCCCTGAAGAGTAAGATGATCGTGAAGAGGAATGTGCTGCAGAAGTTTTCTTAGCAGCCTGGCATAAATCCTTGGCCTGCCGTTCCATGTGTATTAGAAGAAGAGATGTCACCCAAACTGCCTTTTCTGCTCTTCAGGCAAAGAAAGAATCTAGATCACCCAGAATTCTTGTGGCCATGATTTGTAAGGCAACCAGTACTGTAGCTTTAAAGGATGGTTAACTGCCCTGATACCATCTGCCTTTGTGAAGACACATGGGCTGATGTCACCAAACAGCATGATGACCAAAGAGTTCCTGATGTGCAATAGGCCCAGTACTCAGACTGAAGTCCCAGGGCCATAAGAACTTATGATCATCCACTGACTCGTACAAGCCAGAAACCTGGAGCTTCAGCTTCCTTCTTTCAATCCAATCACTAAAAACTGATTTTTTAAAGTATGTGCACTATATTCTTCAACCCCACTCCAAACTCCTCATTTAAATCATTATTGGTTCATGCCGGTTTTTAGCCCAGCAGTCTCATACCTGATCTGCTTGATCATAATAGGCTTGTTCCATTCCAGTAGTTTCTCCACAGGAAAGCGGAACTTTTGAAAATTAAATAAAATTGTTACCTATGTATTAAAATTTTTCCAGTGGGTGGCCACTGTTCTTAGAATAAGAGCCAGGCAGGCTCTTATAACAGGCTTAGGTTCAGGTCATGTCCTGTTGTGTACAGGGTCACTATTAATTGTAATCCACTCAGTGGCACTGAACAACAGACTTTATATGGCCAGGCCATGCTCAGTTATTCCATTTCATCTGTCTCCCACTCTCCCATCAACTATATTTCCACAACTTTTTTTTCCCCCAGTGTCTTCATCACGCTTTTGTACATTGTTCTTTTTGCCTCTTCACTTTGTGCTGCTGGTAAGATGTACTTCTATCCCTTAGCTTTTGACTTTTTTAAAAAATAATTTTAATGAACATTTACAGAGATTTTGGATTTCCAGTCATTCATTGTTTCGACTCAGATTTAATTCATCCAAGGACTCTCTGCACTTCACCACAAAAGTTGGTAAAAATCTTCCAGATGCTCAAACTCGAACTCAACCCACTGCTATCTTGTGAATTTCAACTCACAGTGATTCAGAATAGAACTGCCCTAGAGGTATGTGAATCTTTATGGAAACCGATGACCTCATCTTTCTCCTCAGAGCAGATAACTTTAGGCTTTTAGCAGGACATTTAGGCTAGAAGCCTGGTTCTTTACCCACTGAGTCACTAAGGCTCCCATTAGTTCACTTAGTTCATTCCACCCACTGGTGGCCTAATGGCAAGAAGCTGTGCTGCGGTCTCAAAGGGTTCAAAGCCACCAGCTGCTCCGCGGGAGAAGGATGGGTATTGTTCTCCCGTAGAATTAACTGCCTCTGAAAACCCGCCAGAGGGTTAGCTATGGCTCGGTTCCGAATCTACTGTACACAAAAACATATCAGAATTGCTTCTTCTGCTCAATGAATTCCCATTAGGTTGTACGCTCAGTGAAATCAGGCTGAATCCTGTCCAAAATCCTCACAGTGGTCGAGCACATAAAAAGCTTTCACTCTTAAAAAAAAAAAAAAGCTTTCACTCTTTTACGAAATAAAATGCAGGGGTAGAAGCAGCTGAGAACATTGAGAGCAGCAGACATAGGAACAGAGAAACATTTCGGATGAGGTGAAAGCAGTTACAAAACGGTGACAGGCACAATCAAGGAACAATTCAACCCCTTCTTCTCAGCGTCGCCCCGCAGAGGCGGGCCACCAACTCGCCCGGCCCCTCTGCGTTAGTGACTGTTTGTGACCTCATGCAAATCTAAAGATGTTGCTTGGAGCCATCCACAGCTGAAAAGGCATTTATTTTCTTGAAGGGCTGTGGAATGGAGAGGACACAAGTTGATGAGGTTGCTCTTTTGTTGTCATGGTTACTGTTACTCCCGAGACTTGCACCAAAATCCACTGGGTTGGGCGTGGTGCGAGGGTGGAGAAATCACCCTTAGCAGTGCGTCATCAACCGGTGACGAGTGAAAACGGGGGGGAGGGAGGAGAGGGAAGCTGCGACGGAAGTGACGTAAGCAAGCGCCAGTGAGAAGTCAAGTAAGTTAAGGTCATGGCGCCTCGGCGCCTCCTGTTGGTCGGGGAGGGGAATTTTTCCTTCGCTGCCGCTCTGAGTGAGACCCTGGATCCAAGTACAACTAGGCTCGTGGCCACCTGCATCCAGCTTCCCCACGACCTGGACCGGGATCCCGTGGCCAGCGGGAATCTACAGCGCCTGCGCCAGCGAGGTAGCGAGCCCTGCTTCTTCGCGAAGCCCCACCCAGCTGCCTGGCAGCGCGTCTCATCGGGAGGGGTGGGCATATTGAAGAACGTGGTGATGGGTCTTGTCATTTATTGGACATGTAAAGAAGACGCGCTGTGTACTTACACCTGTGCTGTTTTGCACAGTTCAGATAAGGGAGAGTTTTTCTCTGCTTCCAGGGCTTCTGACATCCTTCTGTTTCCAGGGCTTCTGACATCCTTCTGTTTGTATTTCTCATCTCCAAATTGTCCTTACCAGGTGCAGAGGTACGTTTTGGTGTGGACTGCACTCAGCTAGCAGATGCTTTTGAACTGCACGATAGGGAGTTCGATAGAATTTATTTCAACTTCCCACACTGTGGACGCAAAGCTGGAGTGGCTAAGAACAGGGAACTACTTGCTAAGTTTTTCCAAAGGTGAGGAAAAGGAATCCCCTCGCAAGTAAAACGTGTTAGATGCATAGATCATTGTTGCTACTCTCCAACATTTTAACTGGTCAGGTGAAACAGCTCAAATTATTGCCTTCAAGTTAGAACCTATTCATTGATGATACAGCGAGTCTTCAGAGGCTGTATTTCATCTTTATCCCACTGAACGGCTGGCAGATTCTAACCAACAGAGAGGCGCCGCCTTTGGGTTCGCAATGCACCTCCCTGTAGATTATTACGCTACCAGACCTCCCACAAATAAGGCAGATATGCTTAAGATAATATGATTTAGAAAGAATATAAAAGTCAGAAACCCTACAATCAAGATGCATAGTCAAACATATAATACTCCATGCTAAATAAAACTACAAATAGTGTGCTCTTGAGCATGTAAAAGAAGATCTATTAATTTCTGATCTTGCATCTATAGTGTAATGACTAAGAACATGGATTTAGGAGCCAGACAGCCTGGATTTAAATCTGAAGTGCCATCCTTACTAATTGTGTGATTTTAAATACTTTGACTTCCATTCTTCTGTCTTCTCATCTGTAAATGGGAATATTATAGAAAGGGACCCGTTCCTGGAGAAGGGCATCATGCTTGGTAAAGTCAAAAGTTAGTGAAAAAGTAAGACCTCAGAGAGGATTGGCAACTGGCTGTAACCGTGGGCTCAGAAGATGTGAAGAAAGAGGGTGCAGGACTGAGAGGTGTTTCCTTCTATTATACGTAGGGACACTGGGAATCAGAAGTCTCTGGACAGCATCTAACAACAGTAATGTCATAAATTACTGTCAACTTAAAAGATACTCACACTATTATTGTACTGAAATATGCTATTGAAGACCTGAGTTACGTTGTTGCTTAAAGTGCTGCTGAGTCAAGTACAGCCCATAGCAACCCTATGAACAACAAGCCTGGACCCTGTTTTATCCTGTACCATTCTTATAACTTGAGCCAATTGCTGTTGTCACTGTGCCAGTTCATCTCACTGGAGGTCTTCTTCTCTTTCACTGATCTCTCTTTTCCAAGCATGATGTCCCTTTCTAAAGAATAGCCTCCTCTAGCAAACAGATGCAGCCCTGGATGTACTCACCAGTGTGTGGCAGGAAATTTGGAGGACAGCTGTCTAGCCAACTCACTGAAAGAGATCCGTATTTGTTTCCATCTCCAAGAAGGGTGACCCAACAGAATGTGGAAATTATAGAACAATATCATCAATATAACTTTGGGTTTTAGCTGTCAGAAATTGATTCCACACAGGAAATATTTTAAACTTGTATTTTAAGTATAAAATTGTAATCTCTCGGTAAAGTTGAGTCACAGCTGACTCATAGCTGACCCTTATGTGAGTTTTCAGAGCCTGTAATTTTAAAAAAAGTGACCCTTTAAACAAAAGCCTTTCAAAAATGTTGGCCCGTCCTCGTGATCGCTAGCATACCGAGCCCATTGTTAGTCACCTTGTCAGTTTATCTTGTTGAGGGTCTACCTCTCTTTCTCTGACTCTGTGCCTTACCCAACATGACATCTTTTTCCAAGGACCAGAAGACTAAAAAACCTTTCTTGTTGAGGAACGGTGTAAGCAATAACTCATATGTAGGAACTCTGAGGACACTAATCCTCTTATAACTCATACATATCACAAATACAAAGCCCAGCCATTAGTGTTGGTTAGCAAGTTGAACATAGAATTTTACATTCCCATTTACTTCAGGATACTTTCCTAGCATGTTTGAAATTGAATCAGCCTTTACAAATATGTATAATTGGATATTAATTCTTCAAAGTCCAGTCTTTGCAGCCAAACCATGCAAACGTTGCTAACACCTGCATAATTTCTGTCTGCTTTTGATAAATGGCTGGTGTCTGTGTCTCCTCGTCCCTCCCAACAGCTGTGCAGATGTTCTTGCAGAAGCAGGAGAAGTGCATGTGGCACTGTGCAGAGGACAGGGGGGGACTCCTGCTGACAAGCCTCAGAGAGAATGGCACAACAGCTGGCAAGTGGTTGCCATGGCAGCTCTGGGAGGGCTCATTTTAAGTGATGTACATCCCTTCAATTGTGAGGCTATGCCAGGGTACAAGTGCACTGGATATAGGTAAGTAATAACATAGTCCAGGCCTTCTCTTCTTTTTCTCACTAATAATTTTTTTTTTTAAATTATCACCATGGGGAGCTCTGCTGGCCTAGTGGCAGGAAGCTGCACTGCAACCCCAGAGGTACACGGTTCAAATCCACCAGATGCTCTGCCGGAGAAGGAGGAGCAATATCCTCCTGTACCAGTCAGATCTGATTTGACGGTACACGCACACAAAAATAATAATAAATTTAAAAAATTTTTTAAAAATTAAAAAAAGAAATTATCATCTGGTCAAAATAAAATTTGTCTCTGGCCAATTTCTTGAATTGTTTTCTAGACATGCTTGTTTTCCTCAGTAATGATATATTTTGTACTTGGTGTTTATTTTGCCAGAAGCCAAGATAAGACTTTTCATACCAATGGTTCTCTGAACCATATCTTCACCCGGAGCTTGCCCTTTGGATGTTTTCAACCCAGAACCTTCAGAATCAGACTAGGTGACCAGTGGTTTTCCTTTCCAGAACCAAAAGCACTTGTTGGGAAGTTGAACAGGTAACCTGTTAACTGTAGCATCCCTATTGAGCTGAATCCATATTGGATTGATGGCTGCCATATAGTGAATGGATGCTGTATAAATTGTTTATGCTAGTGCTGTGAATATTTGTCAGTCTACTCTTTCCAAACCCCTTCAGAATTAAAAACTCCCACATATATATATATGATGTGTATATATATATATATATATATGACATATGTATCCCTAATGTGTTTGTTGTTTTGTGCTGCCACATTGGATCCAACTCATAGTTGGCCCTCTAGCAGGTTTTCAGAGGTTATAAATCTTATGGGATGAGATTTCCTCTTTCTCCTATGGAGTAATTGGTGGATTCAAACCACGTGCCTTTGGATTAAAAGTGAGGCTCCTTTGATTAGCCACTAGAGTTCCCTCCTAATATGTATGGGGGTTTTTGTTGTTACTGTCTAGCCTGGAGTTGAAAGCAATCCATAGCTTGGCTCCCAGTGGGTTTTCAGAGGCACAGTAAATCACATGGGAGGAGACTATCCATCCTTCTCCTGCATAGCAGCTTGTGGATACTAACATACATGTATCTATATATCTATGGATGTATATAAATATATATACACACATATATATACACATATACATATACATATACATACACACATGCTTGGAAGAGTGAAGGGACACTGCAGGAGAGGAAGACCCTGGATAAGATGATTTGACACAGTAATTAAGGTAGTGAGGATACACGTGTCAGAGCAGCGTTCAGAGCTGTTGTCCATAGAGTCACTATGAGTTGTAGTCAATACAACTGCACATCACAACAAATGTATATATGTATGGATTTCTACTAGCCTACTGGTAAAGAGCTGTGCTACCAACATGAAGTTCAAATCCTCCAGCTGCTCTAAGGAAGAAAGATGGGCAGTCTCCTTTTGTGTTACTGTACTACCTTTGAAAACCCACTAGAGGGTCAGCTAGGACAACAACTAAATATACATATTGTTGTAGTTTTTATTAGGTACCATCGTGTCAGTGACTCATAGTGACCCTGTGAACAATAGAACCTTGACTTGTCCTGTGCCTTATAAATATACATGCATATAAACATCTGTATGTGTGTGTGTATATATATACACACACACAGATATATGTGTACATATACACACACACACAAATATATGTATGTATATACACATTTTTTATGTCCCTAAATATATATATCATGATTGTGGCTCTCAGAATTCTAAAATACATGACATCCCTGTTCATGGTAGATGATTTCTTTATTTCCTTCTAGAATCACCTTAGGTTTAATTATTTTCTTGATTGCTAATGTGTTTTAGTTCTAGCTATGCCATGGTTGTTTTATAAAATTATTTTTTGTGTTTGTTTATGTAGAGGTTTCCTGGAAGCATCTTCATGGCATCCTGTCAAAACCATAAATGAGAAAATCCTTGCAGAATTGGACAAATATTACCCTCTAAAAAGGATAAAATGTTCCTTCCCTTTGCTGTCACAGAGAGATACCAGCATTCTCTCTTCCTGGAACTGTGACATTTTGTCAACTGCCTTTTGGATTGATCTCCTTGAAGACAACTCAGACTCTGAGTCTGTCACTAATGGGACAACACGAGATGTGGAAGAGTGTGTGATGTCATTTTCAGAGCTTAGTCTTCCCAGTGGTCCTGAAAGAGATAATAGGGAAGAAGCTCATGAAGGAATCTGTCAACAGGCCAAGATCTGCCTTCGACCTTCTCTCCTAGTTCATGTTCCAGGCGTCATCCAAGCACCAGACTTTCTCCCGGGCTCTCTGTATGTCCTCAGTGGACCTGTCTTTAGGAAGTGCCTCATTTTGCCTTTCACAATGCCAGCATTTCATGAGACTTTATTAATCCTTGGATTTAATAAAAATCTGAAGGATGGCTGCCTTCGATCACTATTGGATCACCTGAAACATATTCTAGATAGCCTATTGACCCAGCCATTGCTGGAAGACTCCAAGTTAAGCAACTCAGTGGATTTTGTCCTTCAACCGAATGGAAAAGATTATATGATTAGTGTAAAATCTCCTTGTCTTGGCCCTGGTGATGTCAAGAGTCTGATTATTGGATCTGTCACCACATCTTCTGCAAACATCGTGCTCAAAGATCACAAAGAGTGTTTTGCATTTGTTTCTGTGAACTTAGACCTACTAGCCATGCTTGTCTGGGGCATCTCTGACTGGAGAATGTTGTGGACCGTAGATGACCGTTTCCAGAAGAATTTTGTCTCTGGAAAAAGAGAACCTTTCAAAAGCTATGCTTTGTATCCTCCATGCTATTCACATGATATTAGCTTTTGGTTAGATGAACAGGAAGGATTTGATGAAGTTGATTTCCACACTGTAGCCCGAGAAGTTTCCCAGGACACTGTTATATCCATACAGTTCCTCGGTCGTTTTCAGCATCCTAGGACTGAGCAGATCAGCATGTGCTATCGATTGATCTATCAGGCCTGTGACAAGGCCCTAACTCAACAACGAGTAGTGTCAATGCAGTCCCAGTTTAGGAAAGCAATTGAGCAACAACTACACGTGACACCTCGGTAGTATAGTATATTTGTTTCTACTATGTAATCCTTCATGGATGGAGCTACGTCTTGAAGAAGGTCAATTTGCAACCATTAGTCCTTTCCAGACTGTTTCTTAGTTAAGCCTTTATTTTTGAACATTTTTATTTGTGTTCTAAGTGAGAGTTTACACAGCAGAATAGTCCGCTGTTCCACAGTGTATACACAAATGGTTCTGTGCCATCAGTTGCTGCCCCACAATGTGTCGGTAGGTACCCTATCTTCTTTGATTCCACCCTTCCTGCTTCATTCCCGTCCCTCTAGTTTGTCTGCATCTCTTTGCTTTTAGACAGATGTTATCTATTCCTTCTTCTGTAGATGACTAGTCTAAGGAGCACATTCTGATTGTGTGTTACCTTTTATAGGTTATTCTAGTATTTGACTTAAAAAATGATCTTCAGTTCCAGGTTAAAAGGATGTCTTAGAGTAAGTAGTACTTCAGGCGCTTCTCCAGTCTTTGTCAGTCCAGTAAGTCTGGATTTTCCCCGCCCCCTGAGTTTCAGCTTTGTTCTACCTTTTTCCTCACATTCTAACTGGAATCTTCTATTTTCTCCCTAGTTAGAATGATTGGTAATGATGGTATGGCACCCTCTAATTATTTTGCTCTCAGAGTAAAGGAAGTTCTGTGGCTGGCTTGGGCATTAGTTCTGTGAACTAATTAACTACCTCATGTCTTTAGTTTTCTTCTCTCTGCTTTGTTTCAGATGAAAAGAGATTTGTAGTTGTATCTTAGATGTTGCTAATGAGCTTTTAAGCCCCAGATGCTACTCACCAAGTGAGAATACAGAATATTAACTCTATGAACTGTGTTATGACAGTTGACTTAGATGACCCCCAAAACTATGATCCTTAGCCTGCGATCCCAGTAATCCAGTCCCCTGAAGTATTCAGATTTGTCTAGAGGATGGCACAGGAGAGGTGTAAGGTATCGATCTGTTCATAGGGTCGCTGTGTGTCATAGTTGACTTGTGGTACCTGGCAACAGAGCACCCCACTGTGAGTTGCAGTGCTGACCTAAAGGTGCACATTTTGGGACGTTTGAATTCACCCGTGCTTCCTCAGGAGAAAGATGAGCTGTTCTGATTTACCACTTTGAAAACTGGGTGGAGAGTTGTGGAGTTTTGGGGAGAGCATCTGCATGTGTGGATACTCCCTATGTCCTCTCACAGCTGTGTAGCATACATATCTACCTATTTCAGCACTCACAGATTTTTTTCTGTTAATGCTGTGCTTGCAGGAATGTACATGTTTTAACATTTACCATCTTTCACATTGCCTTTGAGTAGGAACCACCTTACTGACCTTCCATTGAGTTTTCTAGGCTGTAAATGGTGTGGAGAAGATTGCCTGTTTTTCTCCAAAGGAGCTGCTAATGAATTTGTACTGCTGGAGAGGTCCTGGCTTTGGATTAGAATAGAAACTCACTTGGGAGTATGCCACCAAAGCGCCCTTCATAATTTACCATAATTGTCCTGTATTCATTAGTACAGTCTTCTCAATTACTTGCAATGCATCAGAGAGCTGGATAATGAATGACTAAGGATGATAGAAGAAGAATTGATGCCTTTGAGTTGTAGTGCTGGAAAAGAGTTGTTGAACTCCCAAGAGAACAAACAGGTCTGTCCTAGAGAGGGTGAAACCAAGCTGCTCCTTGGAGGCAAGGATTTTGAGGCTTTGTCTCACATACTTTGGGCATGTGGCCAGGAGGGACCAGTCCTTGGAGAGGGACATCATGCTTAGAAGTGTGGAGGGACAATGCAGGAAGGAAGACCGCAGATGAGATGTCTTGACACAGTATATGGGGTAATGGGGGTAGGCATGTCAGAGACAGACTGGATTAGGATATGGCAGGGTTCAGAGCTGCTATACATAGGGTTGCTATGAGTCGCAAGTGACTCAGTGTCACAAAACAACAATCTCTCAGGGTTTACATCTACCTTGATCATGTTTTACTGACTTTCCCCCTGTAGAGAGTTACCTTACCTTTCACCAGCATTAACACATGCCTACTATCTAATGGGAGAACCCTGCTAATGTGTGGTTAAAGCGCTCATCTGCTAGCCAGGTTAACAATTTAACACATCCATCACTCCACAGAAGAAAGATGTGGTAGTTTGCTTTTGTGAAGTTTGTAGCTTTGGAAATGCTGTTAATCTTACTATGTCCTATTGGGTCATAAGTTGGAATTGATTTATGGATTTGGTTTTGGTTTACTCTCTAGTAAGTGATTCTCCCTCTCATTCCTAATAACCATCAAAGAACACTTTATGTGTAAACCTATTCTTTTAAAAAAAGTAGTCTCATGCACACCCATGTTTATTGCTGCTTTGTTCACAATAGCAAGGAGTTGAAAACAACCTAAATGTCCATCAACAAACGAATGGATAGAGAAGCCGTGGTATATTCACACAATGGAATCCTACACTGCATTGAAAAACAAGGAACTCATGCAATATTATTCAAAATGGGTGACCTTGGAGGACATTATGCTGAGTGAAGTATCTCAGTCACAAAAGGACAAATACTGCATGGTGCCACTGTTGTAAAACGGGACTGACATCGAGGTTGGGGGGAGACTGAGAAAGATGGGTTCAATAATGTATACTGCATTGAAACAGATAAGGGAGAAAACTGTTTAAAAGTGATGTGTGATTAAGTATTTCTGTCATGACAGGAGTCCAGAGCGAAGGCTGCATAGTGGAGTGGACGTGGGGCAGGGTTTGTAAAACAATGGAAGGATTTTTCTTTCACTTTTCCAAGAGGCTAATGTACTAGGGGGGAGGGTTAGGATGGGAGAAAAATGTGCAACAATGAATGAATGGGAAATCCAAAGACTCTGTAAATTTTCATTTAAATTAATAATAAATTTTTTTAAAAAGAATAAAAAAAAGTAGTCTCGTAATTGAGTTCTTTCACTTTGTATAGTGTCCTCCAGATTAATCCATGCTATGAAATGTTTCATGAGCTCATCATTATTTTTTATATAGTACTCCGATGCATGTATGTACCATGTTTTGTTTATGTATTCATCTACTCATGGACTCTTGGGCTATTTCCATCTTTTTTGCTTTTGTGAATAATGCTGCCATCAATATGGATGTCACTGCTCTTATGTCTTTAGTATACATACTTAGGAGTGGAAGTGCTAGATCATATGGTATTTCTATTTCTTTTTTTTTATTTTGTGTGCGTGTACCGTCAAATCAGATCTGACTGGTACAGGAGGATATTGCGCCTCCTTCTCCGGCAGAGCATCTGGTGGATTCGAACCGTGTTCCTCTGGGAGTGCAGTGCAGCTTCTTGCCACTAGGCCACCAGAGCTCCCCGGTATTTCTATTTCTTGCTTTTTGGGAAAGTGCCATACAGTTTTCCATGGTGGCTGTATCATTTTACAGTCCCACCAGCTGTTACAGTCTCCCCACAGTCTTGCCAGCGTTTGTTGTTTTCTTTTAGGTCAGTTTCATTTTTGCAAGGATAAGATGGGATCTCATCGTGGTTTTAATTTGTATCTCTCTAATGGCTAATGATTGAAGCATCTCTTCATGTATTTGTTAGCCACCTGAATGTGTCTTCTTTGGTGAGGTGTCTTAATTACTTTATGTATTTTTTAAATTTTTGACAATATTGTCTTTTTTATTAAGTTATTAAAATTTTCTGTATAATTTAGATATTAAATTATTGCCAGATACGTTATTGCCAGCCTTTTGTTGTGACTGCCACTTACAGCAACTCTATGCACAACAGCTCTGAAGCCTGTCCTGTCCTGAGCCACTGAGTCTCACTGCCTCTGACACCCCATTCCCTATTATTGTGTCAATCCATCTCATCTGAGGTCTTCCTCTTTTGCGCTGTCCCTCCACTCTTCCAAGCATGATGTCCCTCTCCGAAGAATGGAGAAGGCCCAGTCTTTAGGCTCTCTTTTTACTCTATTTCACTATGACTACAGCCATTTTCATATTCATCAGCTGTTGTGTGGGAGAAAGATACAGTCTCCTTTCTGTGTGATTTACAGCCTCTGAGGGTCAGCTGTGAGTCAGTTCCAAATGGATGGTACATATAGCATAATAGGCATTGTTGGTTGGCCCCAAATTAGATACCTGCGACTCTATTCCTTAAACTTATAACTGTAATGTCATTGATTCCAGTAATGTTCTAGTGAAATAGAAACAATAAAATGAAACAACATCATGTATTTTTGGTGCTCTATTGATGAAGAGACAGTAGAACTTGGTATATCACATAGATTTATGGATATATTTGCCACACTATCAGTGCTACATCCCTTAAGATTTTTATTATCTCACTAAATCAGAATACCAGAGTGGGATTTGGTGTCACGCAGATAAATATATATTAATGTGAGTTGGTTGTAAGTGCTCCATAATCAGTATTGGGTTTATTACTTTTGTTGTTGTTAGTAATATTACCATCATTTCTCTTTTTATTTTATGGCTGACTCTTGTTCTTTAAGTCATGAACTGATAAAATGTAAAATTTAGGATTCATACTTGGGTTCATCTGACTCAAAAGCTGATTTCCTTTCTGTGATTTTCTGTTTTCACTTATCTTTCCCTCATCAATTTCAACAATCACGTTTCTACTATGGGGAACTGTAAATTTACTTTACTCCCTTAGATTTTCTGCTGGGACACTGGAAGATGGATTCAGGCAGTCCTCTGCAGAATGAGTTACTGCATTCTGCTGATTAACAAGGCCTGCAATTTGAAATGATACACTCTGTGAAGGAATTGGCTTTGTTTTGTTAATTCTTGGATTTGGAAGAAGCATGTGGAATGGTAAGAGTTGAAGCAAAGAGACAAATTAGGAGATTAATACAGTAATCCAGTGAAGATATGTGAAAAAATGTTGGATTAAGATATACTGATGAGTAAGATGGATATACATGGAAAGAAGAAAACAATTGAGAAAATAATGTTAATGACTAGGACGGAAAACAGGTATAGATGTAAATTTGGGGAG